TATATATATATATATAGGGAATTTAAGTGTGTGTGTTTCCTATTACATGTAATTTCAATAGTAAGAATTGACCATTATGACTAATGGAATTGTCCCCCTCCAAATCATTTTGGAACTTTTTTCTTGTGTTGCTCTGATGATCTTCTGTGCACCACATTCTTCCTATCTCATATCTGTTGAATCAAAATGGACATATCTTTCTTTCAGGGCTTAAATTACTTTTAGGGGGCCCTCCTATTTCCATCTACATTTTCTTAAATGACACCTTCCATGTTCATGGATTTCTTTGCTCTGGCTCTCACGGTTTCTAATATGGACTTGAATAGAATTTTTGGTTAGATGCAACTTTAAGAATGTTTGTTCTCTTTTAATAAATGCTCTGCAAAATGCCTACCTGTAATCCAGGAGTCACAGCTTTCTCTAGCAGGGGAAGGGTTATCTGGGTTGCTTTGGATGTTGGCTGTAAGTGAATACCATTCAGGTTGGTCACCACCTGAGAAAGCCTTCCCTGCTGTGTAGAAGTCACTGACTTCAGGACACTTTCTGTGCTGCTCACACTCTTGAACATTTCTTTAGTATGCTGCAGCCTGAGATGTGTTTAACTATTTTGAGCTCAGTGTGTGAAGGCTATGAAAATGTTTTAAAATCTTCAAAATTATCCTTATGGAAATGTGAGGTGTTATTACTGTCACTATCATTGTAAGCTCTTGTGCTTTTCACAATTTGGGCAGGATGTGTCACAGGACAGGTGGCTGTCTATTGGAAAGGCCCTCTCCTTTCAAGTTACTGCCTAATCTTGCAATTACTAGTTCAGCAACAAAATTACTATTTATTAGTTATTTTGCATTCAGATCCATTCAATAAAATATTATTAAACACCTATTGTATGCTAGGCAGTCTCCTATTGTCTGAAAGTTACAGTCATTAATACTAATTTCATTACTTATTGTTAGAAAATAAGTATCTTTGAAGAGATGGTAGGGTGTTACCTTTATTCTTTAATCGCTAAATATCTCAAAACTGGTTCCTATACCAGCAGCATTAGAATAACCTGGAAACTTGTTAAAAATGCCCTACCAAATCAGAAACTCTGGGAGTGGCTCCCAACGTGTTTTTTAACAAGCCCTCCAGGTGATTCTGATGATGTCAGAGTTTGAGACCCACTGTTTTACAGGATGCCAGTTATAGAGAAGAAGGGAAGAGACAGGAGAGTTGAGTTTGGACAGCCTAAGGAGAAAATTTAAAAAATGGTATGTGTTTCCACCATAGAAGAAGAGGCTTGGTAGAAACAATTCAGTCATTCCGTTAAGGGACATGAAAAGCCTGGAGGAATTTTGCAACTGAACAGAGGGTGTCCAGATGAAGAGAGATATGAACAACGAAAACAATGAATTGAAAAGGTACTGAAAACTAGCTTCAAATATGTCATTATTTTTCTCAGAGATGGTTGGCTTAGCAGTGAACGCTGCTGACATTTGTGTCTCAGTCTGTCCTTGCAAAACTTGGCAGTGTCCACTGTGCTTATGGTATCCTTCGTACAATACACGTTCAATAGATGCTTTGGTGTCATACAGTCCTTTTATCCTGTTCTAACTGACATATCTTCTCAGTTGGCTTTGTTTCCAAAATTTCTTTTTTTCGTAACTTGTTTCAATGAAAGTGGCATCTGCAATAATTCACATACCACAACTATAAAAAAACACGTTCAATAGATGCTTTGGTGTCATACAGTCCTTTTATCCTGTTCTAACTGACATTTCTTCTCAGTTGGCTTTGTTTCCAAAATTTCTTTTGTTCGTAACTTGTTTCAATGAAAGTGGCATCTGCAATAATTCACATACCACAACTATAAAAAAGATGGCGACACATAACTGCCAAGGAGAACTTTAACTTGGTTGATAGAATTAGGTTTTGTAGGTCTCCTGAAAAGCATTCTTGTTTTCTCAAGTATATGTGTCTGTCTATCTATATATCTTTCTATCTATGTGTGTCTTTTTCAAGTGACTCAGAGAGCAAAAGTCAATATTTTATTTCATTAACTATGATGAAAATCTTTGCCTATGTAAATTAAGTTTATTAAAAATCCTCATTTTATTCCTGCTTTTAGTCAGTTCACAGTGCTTGCATCGTCTGCACACACTATATAGAATTTCTTTGGTGAAATTCTCATT